TATTAAAAGGAGAATAGTTTGGCATAATATTAAGCCAAGTGGCATATTGAGAACAAGCCACTTGGCACTATTAGAGAATCTATTTGTTAGATTCTATTTCTACTAATTTTTTTAAAAAAAAATTATTAAATAACATTCTTTTAATAATGTCCAATACAATTTTCCAGATAATTAATCATGATAAGATATCAAAGATAAATCTAGGGATGAGACGCGCTAAAAAGGGGGAAAAAGGGAGAACTTAAATTTAGTATTAGAATAATCATGAGTTTTGGAGCTTTGTGAATATAAGCAATATCTTGATTTATAGTCTTAGTACCGTAAACGCAATCGTTTTTTTTTTAACTTTTTAAATTTAATATTGAGATTAACACTGTATATTACAACGTGTTATTTAAAATATTTGCAGTTCAAATATTACCATATAAGGAATAAAATTATATGACAAAGAATATGCATAATTTCCTTCAAAGTGAGGAAATCAAGGATGCACGACAGGGATGATCAAGAAATATGGTTGGAAAGTGAATAATCATGCAATAATCACGAGGCATATTTGGAAAAGAACAATGTGACCAAGAGTCATTCCAAAATAAAAAACAATCAAGCTTTGAATTTATTCAAAAGTTCTCTGCCAAAGGAAAGGTCTTTAATGATTGAAGACACCCTTAACGATAGTGTGACGAACCAACCCGTCGTCACGTGAGTTACCGCCCCGTTTTCCCTATTTTCTATTTCTTTATGCTTCATTATCAGTGTTGGGTGTGAACGAGTTGATTTGGAGTGGTTCTAGAAGGAAATGAGACACTTAGTGTCTTTAAGGAAGGTTTGTTTTGGAAAAGTCAACCGGACGTTGACTTATGTGTTAGAGGGCTCGGATATGAATTTCGATGACTCGGTTAGCTTTGGGGGGGGGGGGGATGATTTGTGACTTAGGAGTGTGATCGGAAGTAATTTTGGAGGTCCGGTGTAGAATTAGGCTTGAATTGGCGAAGTTAGTATTTTGGCGAATTCCGGTCGATAGGTGAGATTTTGATCCGAGGGTCGGAATGGAATTCCGAGAGTTGTTGTAGCTTCGTTATGTGATTTGGGATGTGTGTGCAAAATTTCAGATCATTCGGAGGTGATTCGGGTAGGTTTTTGATCGAATGCAAGTTTCGGAAGATTTGGATGAACTTAGGCTTGAATTTGATGTAATTTGATGGTTTAGGTGTTATTTGTGGTGTTTTGATGATTCGAGCAAGTTTGAATAAGGTGTTGGATGATGTTTGTGTTTTTGGTTGAGGTCCCGGGGGCCTCGGGGTGATTTCGGATGGCTAACGGGATGTTTTGACTTGTAAAACTTAAGAATTTGCTGCTGCTTCTGGTATTTCCGCTCCTGCGGAAATTGGACCGCAGAAGCGGTACCGCAGGAGCGGGTGGAGAGTCGCAGAAGCGGGGAGAAAGGCAGGTGCATATTGGGTGACCGCATCTGCAGAGTCGCAGATGCGACAACATGACCGCAGATGTGGGTTTTGGAGATTTAATGAGATCCGCAAATGCGGAGCTTAGTCCGCAGAAGCGGAAGCCGCAGGTGCGTGTTTCAGACCGCAGAAGCGGTGCAATTACCGCAGAAGCAGAAGTCGCAGAGGTGGCTAAGGAGCCGCAGATGCGGAAATAACTGGTCAGTGAAGTTTTATTTCATCTTCGCGAAATTTCATAAGGGTTCATAATTTTCACTTCGGACTTGGAGAATTTGGGCGAGTTGGAAGAGAGAAATCAAGGGACTTCATTGAGGTAAGAATTTCTGAGTCTCAAACACGATTTTATGGTACAAATACATGAATTAAGACTGAAAAATTAAGGAATCAAAGGTCAAAAATGGTGGTTGGGGCTTGGAACTTAAGAGAGCTAAAATGGGGATTTGAGGGGACATTTGGACTCCGATTTTGGTGTTCTTCATATGTATAGACCCGTGGCGAGATAAGGAATCCATTGATGGTAAATTTTCTAATTTTCGAGAAGTGGGCCCGGGGCTCGGGTTTTGCTAATTTCGAGATTTTAGCTATCTTTTTGATTGTTTTTGATTGGGTATTGTCCCATTGGCATATTGTGATGTATTCGTTGTGATTTTGATCAGATTCGGTACACGAGGAGGTCAATTCGAAAGGAAAGGGCATACCGAGCTAGGACTTTGGCCGGCTTGAGGTGAGTAATAAATGTAAATGCTGTTCTGAGGGTTTGAAACCCCGTGTTTGCACATCGTAGTGCTATATTGAGGTGACTTGCAGGCCGGATAGCGAGCGTGGGGTAGAGCACCGTTGGAGATTGTGACCTGGTCCGTCCCGGTAAATGAATATACTGTGTATTTGACTGAAAATTCACTTATTATCATTTTAATTGAACTGATTGCTATATTTGGGCTTCGTGCCAATTGATTGAATCCTTCAGGGATTGTTTTTACTGGTTTCTTACCATTTTTACATATCATTGAACTCAGTCCTGGTAGTTAATACTGTTT